ACTTGATTAAAATTCTTGCAAGTCAGCAAATGAAAGAAAATAAAGAAAAGTCTTCAGTTTCACCTAATGTCGGACACCCGCATAATGATAGTCATATTTCTATTCCGTTGGACCAGTGTTTTAAAACTCAGCCCGGCCCAACGGGTTGACCCGGTAAACTGATGTACCAGTGCCTAAACCAGACCGGTTCAGTCTTTGTATCGTTTAAGCACCAGACCCGTCTGAAACCCGCTGAACCGTTTAAACCGGATGAGTTGAATCAAACCGAATGAGTCAGTTATATTAGTATAAAAACCTGAGTTTTGGGCATTTTGCCCTAAATCAACACTCGCAGTAGTCTTTCATCACATCTCACTTGAGTTTTTGATCTGGTACCCAAGTCGAACGAAAATCGTTGTTCACCAAATCGAAGCCAACCTCTGCATCTTCTCTTCGCAATGATCGATCAGCTGCTGTAAGCCGGCGACTGTCTCTCTTCTTTGCAAGTGCTATTCTCTTTGATTGCCCTAAATCGATAGTCTCTCTTTCTCTGTCTCTTTGAGTTTCTTCTCTCAATCTTTGTTCTCTCTATGTTGCTGCTAGCAAGCAAAGGATGAAGTTAGGCTTCAAAGCTCCATTCCATTGAAGTATCGAGCCATCGACAACCATTGACAACAGGTACACTACTCTCTCTCAGTCTTTCTCCCCCTCTCTCTCTCTATTTCTGTCGTTATCTCTGTTATGAGAGCTTTTGGTTTCCCACTGGCATATAGGGTTGAATTTTGGAATCTTATGGTGGTTTGAGAAGGAAGTGGTTTTGTGTCAGAACAGTTGAGTTGCATTTTTTTTATGGGTTGGAATTTGGAGGGTTGGCCTGAGTTTGTGTCTAATTTGGTTTGTAATTTTGATCTAAGTTGTGTGTGATTCAAGCCAAATTATTGAAACGAGGGCCAAATTTGTTTGAGTAACTTGGATTTCATGATTCTTTTTAGCAATTGTAGCTTCTGTTGTTACTATATTTTTTGAACCAAACAAATGATATAATTTAATGGTTATTGTTATTATTGTTATTATAATTTAATTGAAGAGTGCAAATTACATGGATAATACTTGGATTGAATAATTGATGCATAGTAAGAGACTTGGACTTGGAGTCTTGAAGTTAAATATAGGTATGTTTTTGCTACTTAACCTCTGCTCCTAGTGCACAGCTGGTGGGTTGGAGAATATTGATGGATGCTTAGATAAAAAATATTGAATATAGATGGGGCCGCTAAAGGTAATCCTAGCCCTGCTGGTGGGGGTGTTGTTTTGAGAAATGAATGGGGGAGAATGGTGCTTGCAGCTTCTTTCTTCTATGGTGAGTGCACCAATATGGTGGCAGAGTTTAGAGCTCTTCTTGATGGTCTTAAGTTGGTGGAAGAGTATGGTTTGTGTGTTTATCAGATTCTCTGGTTCTTGTGGAATCTGTGAGGGGTAAATTTGATTGTGCTTGGGTTTTGTGGTCCATTTGGGCACAGATTAAGGAGAGGCTTGGTAGAATGGTCTTGCAAATAAGACGTGTATAGAAAAGTCAACTTTGTGGCTGATAGCTTGGCCAATGTAGCTGTGCAGAATGGTTTTTCTACTGATTTTACTGTGTCTGCTGCTATGCCTTGTTCAGTGAAATGGATGCTGTTGCAAGATATGAGGGGATTGTCTGGGGTGAGAAAGAAAAATGTGATTGTTTTTGATGATAAGGGATGATGGAGGTAGTTGTTGTTGCTGACTGGATCTGGATAGTATGTTGTGCGGGGAGTATCTTTTATGAGGCTGCAGTGCTGTTGTTCTGTTTTGCTGTTGTGCTGATATGTTGCTGAATTGCTTTGATGTGTTGTGATTGGTTTTAAGGGGGATAAGAGGCTGCTGCCATGGGTGCAATAAAGGTGCTTTTGGAGCATTTTGAAGGATTAAAGCCTTTTTGTGTAAAATTGAATGTTTTAGAATTATTGTAATTCTTGATTCTTGTAATTGCTTGATTCATTCTATAAAATTCCTTTTTCTTAAAAAAAAAAAACAAATTGTATTAGAAATTAAATGCATTGGATAAATGTTTGATGATTTTTGTCTACATACTTTCACACATTTGCCGTTATTATCATAATTATTGTGATTTTTTAGCCTATTTACTATTATTTATAATTATTATTTATTTTTTTTATTATATAATCAGTTCGACCAGTGACCCAACGGTTGAACCAGTGACCCATTGACCCAGTTACTCTGTCGCGTTGATGTCCGGGCCGGGTTTTAAAACTATGCGTTGGACCCTCATGCTTTCCATCCTTCAAAACAAACTTTCAATCGTTTGAACATTGATACTAGTGATGATATTATTTTTAATCCTATTATGTTTCCTACCTCATCGGAGCTAAAAGTTGAATCATTACTAATCGTTGAACTTGAGGAAAAATTCATTCAGTTGGTTCCTATGCAAAATGTTGAACATATTAAGCTATCTATTTTAGAATTTGTTGGCAATTATTCTATGTCTACTACTATTTCAAATCATGATGGCATTGTTTTGGATTCTTCTCCACCTGAGATTGTTGATATTGTTCTGGATTCTGCCCCACTTGAGAGTGTAAACTTTGTTTCTTTGCGTACTGTCAAGTGTTCCATTGAGTCTACACTTTCTTATTTTCAGCACCAGGGTGTTATAGTTTCTCCTTTGTCATTAATCTCTTGTCCCACTAAATGCCTTTTGTTCAAACCTAATGAAAATTTTTTTACTATTATTGAGTTTGGATCTAATGCTTATTTACTTAATTTTCCATTGAATGTTAGTATTAGTCCAGATTTTTATTTGGAGGACATGCTACTTAATCGAGGTACTCCAGAACCTCCTATTTTGTTATCCAATGTTTCTACCGGATAAATTGTTTATTCTTCAACACTAGCTCCAGTTCTTATCTTTCCACTTCCATCGCGTATTTCTGGACAAATAGATGATGTGCTACGTGACCAAATTTATATTGTTATAGATGGAGATTCTTGCATTTATTCCGATCGATGGAAAGATGTTAATGGTTTTTACATTCTAGATGAGGCGTTCTGTCATCTTCATGTTGCTCTTTTAGGGTCCTTCTGCTTTGAAGACTCTCTGGATGAGAGTTTTTCTCAACCGGAGGAGAATAATAGAGATCGTGTAAGAATTAGATAGATATTTTTGATTAATCATGAGAGTAATTTGAATACTTTTAATATTTTCTTTTAACTTTTGAGGGTTTATTTGTCATTATTTATTTGTTTTAGAGTTTTAGTTTCCCTAGATAAAGGGATAGGGTTTTACTGAGATTAGACTTTGTTTATTATTGATTATTGATATTGAATCCTTCTTCATCAAATTCTTTCTTTGTCCTCTTCCCCTCCTTCTTCTTTTCTTATCTCTTTCTTCTTCTCTTCTCATCCCTAATTCTTCCTTACTATGATCTCCATCAATTTGATATCAAAGCTACTACGATCTACATCAATTTAGTATCAGAGCTACTACGATCTACATTAATTTGATATCAGAGCTACTACGATCTACATCAATTTGGTATCAGAGCTACTACGATCTACATCAGCAACTTTGACCAGAATATGTCCCACTGAGCTTACTCTCATTTAGTTACCTCACTTAGAACATGATGAAGAATTTACAAGCACAAGAGCTACTAATTAGTAATTATTGCCTAACAGCATACCATCACGTATAATATACGCTTGCTATGTTTATGCTCTATGTCCACTGCTTTAATCTAATATAAGCAATGGATTACATCATAATTAAAGAATATATAGGCAAACTTTCTTTCTCGCCTAAACGCCTTTCTTCCAGCTTTTTCCAGATAAAAAGCTAATAGAGTTGCGCTTTCTTAGTACATTACCTTTCATTACCAATCTGTCGTTATATATATATATATATACACACACCCTTATGTAAGACCAATCCGTAACTAATCTCATAGGCTTCAGTTCAAGCAGAAGCTTCTAGAGAAAGCTTACTATTCAAAAATTCTCTAAGGGGACTCTAAAGGGAGACATCTAGAATAACTTTGTTATGGCCTAACATGCAACAAAATATACTTCGAAATAAAACAACTTAGACCGACAATGGTTATGAAAAACAATCATGGAACCGCCACATATTTCAAACCAACCCCTTTCCAGAAAAGGAGGAATATAAGCTTTGAATTATGGTGTTCCTCTAGCAAAAACGGCTACAAAGACCACACATAATAGCATCAGGGCTCTTCGGTTCAAATTAGAATGTTCGCAATAGAATGACAGTAGGCATTAGGATTTGTCACCAAACCTTGGACTTTACCTATTGTTGCAGCTTACCTATTGATTCAGATTTAGAAAGTGCAAATCCACTGTGCATGAAAGCTTAACATGGCCACGATAGAAAAAAGTTTCCTTGTCTCAGAAACAAAACATGTTTTCCGAGGCATTTATATGTTATTGCAACAATGCCCTTATTCTCCAGAGAACAGCTTTCCTTGATTAAACTTGATCTCATATCAAGATCTCAAAAGCATAAATTCCGCCTCATCCGCATGTAATCTAACCCAACTTGCGGACAACCTTTGGGAAAACACTCGATGAGGAAAATTAAGCGTTCGCCTATTTTCCAAATATTGCACTGTATTTAATTCGTTCAGTTCCCAGAAACTTTAACCAACCAATACATATCCTAGTGGATTTCTTTTATGCTCATTAACGTTGCTTTGTCTCCTCTAATGAACATCTGAGTTCTATTTAGCATCTTCTAGCAGCAATTAAAAAAAAATTATTTCACTATAATTTAGTCCGCATGTACCTAGGTCACTCATAAGAAGTCACCTGAAACTCTCAAAAAGTACCTCCCAAACACATGACCTTGTATCAAAAAACAACAGAAAGCAAATAAAGGAAATATGGCACCAATTATTTGACTAATAATTACACATGAACTTTCACCAACACTAGTATCACAGGAATTTTCTCCTCTCAAGTTACATATATGCAGTATATGGATTCAACAGAGGTATTACCTTCCCCAAGATCAAAGGAACTAAAAGAGTGAGGACAAGGCTTTTGAACAACTGCTTGGTTGGAACTGATAAACCAACTCCGGCAGCAATGAACTTTGAGATAGAGAAAGGGACCTAGTACGCACAATATATTAAGCACTTTATAGTAATGAAATGAAAAAAAAAATGGCTTCAAAGTTGATAATATGATCGGTTGAAGTGCACACAAGGATGACAAACAGAAAGAAAGACAAATAAAACATACATGCACACATAAAAATGGAAAATAGAGATAGACAGAGACTAATCCTACTATGTCAATATGTACTCTTTATGTTAAATCTTTATTGAACATGGATATAATTCAGGCACTACACAAACATGCATGGCAATCCTGGGACAAAAATGAGCCTCAGAATGTGAGGCAACATCTTGCGCAAACAGTTGAAAGTTCAAAAACAAAAAATCATTACCCCGAAAGCCTTCCGAGCATGCGAGAAAACGAATATCAAGAATATTATAAACAAATCGAAGGAAAGAGGAAGACAGAATATGCGAAAATAACAAACACTAAAGTTAATCTTACAAGGGGAATATACAGAAACATTTTAGAATAGACCAACGGGTAATAGTAAACTAGCATGCAATCTCTACCTATTTTTCTCATCCACAATTTTTTTTTTTTATAGGAAACATAACTTCTTGTATTAAAAATCAGAAATATATCAAGAATGTTGGATAAGGAATCCAATTAAAAAAAAGACTGAAAAGAAAAGGGAAAAAATACAACCAAAGGGGAAACATAAAAAGCCTATAAATCACATTATACTTTCCATCCTGATAAGTCAAAAGCAGGGTTGGATATTGGATCAACTTACTCATCTTAACAAGATCTTGTCTTGCAATAGAGATACCTAATGTGCTATGGCATTCATAACTTACAAGTTCCCAGAAAATCAGGATGGCTAAGTTAATGAAAAAAACGAAGCATACAAAAGAAAGGATTAAGATAAATGATTTATAACAGCAATAGTAGATTGCATCAATTTAAATTTCAAATGGAATATATATCTTGCATAATACCAGCAGGTGGTTTAAGGCATCAAACTTCAAGCAGGGCTATCACATGTTAAAGCTAAATTCAATAAATATGTAAACTCAAAGCAGATATAATAAGCTTGTATAAATAATCTAAATTAATTTGATATGCATATGATATACTACTTGCAACTTACAATTAAAATTCCTAACAGATTAGATATCAGAGTCATTGCAAGAGCAAGGGCAGAATTTCCTCCAGCAAGCTGCACTTCAGTAATTCAAACCTGCAGTGAAACTTACGACCTACTTTTTCTGATCTGATAAATCATGCAAAATAACCTGAGTAGGGAGAAATTTATTATAACTAGTACCCTAGTGAGTGCCACTCCACTTGATAATGTTGTTGGCATGCAATTAAATATAGCCAATCCTGCAGGAACCAGAGAAGTGCCCAAGGTTAGCAAAGAAGCTACAGAAAAACTCTGAATCATTGAATACAATAATGAGGAACCCTCCATTCCAACCCACCATATATTGGGGGGGGGGGGGGGGGGGGGGACGAAATGGTCATGTTTGATGGCATAAAAGTGGTGAGAGGAAAAAGAACTGGGAGTTTCAAAATCAAAGAGCTTGATATTAAACGAGATGTTCTTCAAATCACGGAAGATAACATTAATTTGGGACAAAAATGATGATGCAGGATGAGAAGAATGGTTGCTGAAATATCATCACTTTTCAAACTAAGTTCAAATCAACAGTGTGAGAACCCACGCCTGTCGACCTCTCTCTAGAAGCTTCCCGTAGTGCAAAACTGACAGGAAGTTAACATCTCCTTTTTCTAGGGAATTAGTAAGCATGTTAATTAGAATATCACAAGGCTTTGGTTCTAATTACAATTTACCAAAAGAACCACAAATTACAAGTGAAACTCCTTTGCCAAGGTAAATGTTTGCAAAAAACATTAAAAACTAGATTCGGGGGCCAATTTATGAAACAGGAAAGTGTAAGGGAACCATTTAACCCTAAACGGTCTCAAGGTATTCATAAAGCATTCAATTTTGATAGGGGAAGTTGACAATCCAACCCAACAGCACAAACAACTAGGGGAAGCGAAAGTTTATACATGTCACCGCATAGAAGCATCATAAATCCATCATAGCAAGCATATGTATCCCAAAACATTGAACATAAAACCATAGTCTAACATTAACACATAAGGAAAACTCACATACCCTAACACAAGCTCCTACAATGGGTAACGCACTTAAGGGGTGCATGGCCATGAATCCATGACCCTCGAACTCTTCTATGAACCTCAAACTCCTTCATTCATCTTCAAACATGCCCTTTTGATTGCAAAAAGATGCTTAAGGAGTGTAGAATGACAAGCAAGAAAGGAGATGAAGTGAAAGGCAAGACCGTGTAGACAATGGAACTGAGAGCTTGGACATCTATTTGTAGAGGATGTGCCAAGGTAGATAATAAAGTGGAGGACTACACCGCGAGTTTTTTCTTGATCAATATAGATAATGTATATTTATCAAAAATATACATTAAGAATTACAGAGATGAATTATATGATTATCTATATTAATCAAGAAAAAACTCATGGGTCAAAGACTACACCATGCCTCATCCCACCAAGCACCATGATCACATAAGTAAGCCAAGAAGCTGAGGCTAGGTTAGCCTTCCAGAATATTCCTACAACTTAGCCTCAAAGTGAACATATCTAATTGACCAGTAATATATAGATATCTAAACTTCTGGTCCTTTTCAAATTTTGATAGGTTCCTGGAATCTCGATGCCGCAGCAAATGATACAATAGAGTGATATCCTATCCCAGAAACTCTTCCAATAGAAACTCTCCAACATTGTAATTCTACAGAACCAATTAAGTGCCCCAATCAATAGAAAATCAGGAAAAAAAAAAATTCTACACAATGAATCCACACGTTCCCAATTTCCCTAACCAATTAAGGGTTGCAAAATGGGCGTTTACTCGCAGCAATCTGGGATGAAGACCTAGTTGTTACTAAAGGCTCACAGAGACTTTATGATCCCATGACAAACAGAGCATTCGAAAAGTTGTCCATTCAGATTTTTGTAATTGCACTTTTATTCCAGTCTCAAACAGAACTGATCCTCTATTAGTCGAAAAAGGGGAGGCATTCCTTCAAGATTTGAGCTTCTAAATACTTTAACATGGTATCAGATCAAAAAGTCTAGTATTCCAATCTCACCATTCCCCCAAAATTTACAAGATTTGCATGTGCTTGGCTCAAAATCTGGCCCACACTAGAGGGGAATATTGAAGTATATACATATTTATGTTACACACTTTATACTTTTAGATGAGGTGACTGTTTAACATACCTAAAAGCATAAGAATAAGAAACTCCATCCCTTTACTCCTAACATTAAGAACATGTTAAAAAATTATATCCTGCATTGCACACTTTGGCATACATATTCACCTCAATCTTGATAATAAGCTATAAAATAATATGAAAACATTAGAAAGGCAAATTGATTCAACAATGTTATGATTTAGGCTTTCTTATTCATAAGGGAGATATATGTTTCTATAAAATGAGCACGATCGATTGTGGATCATTGTTTTGGAGTATTTCAAAATGAATGTGAATTTATGAAATTGACTGGAAAATGCGACAAAAAGTCTGTAAGACCTACCCCAGTTCTTGATACAAAATGAGGGCAAACCAAAAACAAAATATTCACAATTATGCGCAACTGAATAAAGGATGTTCTTGTCGATAAGAGATACGACAAGAAAGGTATATTAAAAAGCACATATGTGACTAATAGAAGTAGCATTGGGTCTCTAAAACATTTGAGCAAGGAAGTTGCATTGCCACTCCAGTGATTTCCAGCACTACATAGGCGATATGTTTCACGGACTTTCTTAAATTTAGGGTTTGTTAATAGGAAAGGAATTGGAAAAATTGTGAGAGAAGGAAAAAAGTTGTTACACTAGCTCTCACTATCAACTCATATTTTTGTGTATACAACGAAAAACAAAAGACAAGTATACCCATACACAGGTATACTTATTACTACATTTAAAATAAACAACAATACTGACATACTTTACAGTCTTACCATTTAACAATACAACATGTACGAAAATAGACCAAAATGGTTTATCTAAGGTTGCAAAATGCAAACCTTAAAGCTTGTCCTAAATCGATAAAATAGCACCTCTCAAACTATTATATGAGTCTTGTAGGCTTCTTTACTAACTATCAATTAGTTTTGAGTTGGATGCTTTAATATGGTATCAAAGTTGGTCTTAGGTAGAGTTTGGAGAAGACTCAATTTCATCGACTTGGTAATTTATTCTTCCATTATTTTTGTCATATTTATGATTATTATTTCTTTGAATTTGTCTTCTTGGTCATTTGATTAATTATCCATAAACGAGTGAGGATCGCGTGTGCAAAGGAGCATTAGAGCTCGTCCCACGTCAATAACATACATCTCCCAAACTACTGTACGAGTCTTGTGGGCCTCTCCACTCAATTGGTTTTAAGTGGGATAACCTTTATCAGCCACCAATTTAAAATGTCATGCATGGGGGGATCTTGACATGCACTACTTTCAGCCACGATTATTTAGTAAAATTGGATCATACTCTAAACTATGGATAAATAACATAACAAGTTGCACCTGTAACAAATTCTTGAGGTTGGAGCGGAAGTTGCAGAATAAGCCATGAAAAGAAGGGAGTGAACAACAAAATAGAGCCCTGTATTGACAAGAGAGGGAACCATTTATTTTTTTGTCATATAAAAGCAAAAGTGCATCAGTTATACTTTTTCAACTTAACAAGTTATGTGAGCCAAGTGCTTACAGTAAGAATTGGTACAAAAAATATTTTAAAAGACAAAAATACCCTCAATCTCATTGTCTTTTTCTCTCCTTTCACTTCTGTTTCTTTCCTCTCCCTCACATTGTCTTTGTGCCTCTCTCTCTCTCTCACTATTTTGGGCCAAAAACACTCATAACTGACCTGACAGCAATGCTCCAGCTAGCCAAAGCCAGCAGCCACTTCCACCCATTGACCACCCTCCCACTACCCACCAGCAAAAGCCAGAATAAGAAAGCCATAACCATATCCCCCAACCCCACACCATCACTGCTACCTCCATACTACCTTACTCATAGAAAACACAAATCAAACAATCCACCAAGACCCTCCTCATTCTCTCTCTGTGCAAAACCCTCGTTTCTTCTCCCAAAACCTACTACAATTTTGAAACCTAATCCAGATCTCTTCATTTTTGTTAGCAAAATGCCCGAAGTTCCAGACATGTCCCTCAATGATACATCAAAAAAATGAGTTTTTTTTTTCGTTTTACCGGAGTTGAGCACAGGGGTGGGGTTTGACAAAGAAGAAAAAGAGATATAACAGGATTCTAAGGTCATTTTACCCTTACCATTAACAATATTGGTGGTACACTTAGGTGCACAAACCATATGAAAGTTGTCATGCTGCTTTTGAAGGTGAGAGGGTCATGTGCAAAGGAGCAAGAGGGGTAACATGAAGTTTGCCCAATAAAATTTGATCAAAAAATTCTCTCTTAACCATTCAAGTGGCCTTTCTAGCCTATCTCCTAAGAAAATAACACATCCTCTTTTGGAGAATTATTATTTCGGAGGATCAAACCAACCAAAATTAATAAGGTAAACTGTCCACAAACAATACTCCTAATTTGTTTGGTATAAAAACTTCACCAAACTACATATTGTTTAATTTTCTACTAACCTTTTATTTATTAGTAATTTAACCAAGTACTTGAAGTGTAAAGTGACTTTCTTTCCTACGCATTGTGTCAACAATTCATAGGCTATAAAACTAAATTAGAACATTGCTTGTAACTATTTTTTTTTGATAAGCATGGCTTGTAACTATTATAGCTAAAATAAGGCAAAACCTTTTAACCTCGCACAAAAGAGATAGTGTTCTCAAGTATCAATATTACCCACTAAGACTCATAATATAAGAGTAACAATTCAGGAAAACCACTAATGGGCTCCAAAAGAAAAACCACTCTGCTAAAGGTTCCCTTATGTGGAGAGTAGGGTTGTTAAAATATGACACAATCCATGGGTCTTCTTTAAACCATCCGTTTCATAAATGAGTGGACCCAACATGACATGATTAATAAACGAATCAGGTATAAGTGAAACCAATTAAAATAAATACACGACATGACTCGTTTATATATTGATTATATACAATTTATACACGCCATGAACCCAATATGACCTCATTCGTTAGACACGAATTAATAAACGAATTGGATTCGAGTGGAGTGTTTTATGATACGAAGTAGCTAGGACCCAACATTACATAACAATCGTTGTTTTCCTCACACATCATAGTTTACTCAATACTTTACTAGAATGTCTAAGAGCAAATGGATGCCACCACAGTGGGGATACCAATCACACAATTTTTGTAGAGGTAATCATGGCCATTATATTTTGGATACAATGAGAGAATCTAGCATGGAAATGTACAATTTCAAGACCACTATAACGACATCTATGGTTGTGAATAAGATGGATGCGAATGAGAAAATTCCACAATCCTGAAGCAATGTACAATTTTCTAGAATTGAAGGTACAAAAGAATTTTAGATTGCACAATGATTCCTATACTTGATGAAGAATCCTTTAAGGAAAAATAAAACCAAATAATAATATTTTAAAAATGGATGCATGAAAGTGGATAGTAATAACAATGCCTAGAACATTAGATATTAATTACAACTAGTTCTTGTAATCATGTTAATAGAAAGTAGGTATAGGCAGAAAAAAGATGCAAACATCCCACCCTCTGTTGAGAGAAGGGTAAGAAAGATGTGCAAGGAAAATGTGAAGAATAAGCACAAGGAAATCATAATGGCACTTAAATTATTGGAGGTCATACTAGCCCAAAAAGTCCAACTGGCCATGCTTCAGTGGCTGCACCAATTTCTTCACTACGCAATGTCAGCCCTATATCATATAAAATGTGAGGATAGCCTTGTTAAAAAATTTAGAAGATGTCAAAATAATAATCTCAGAACTTTACCTGAGATAATAAAAATCCCAAAAGTGCTAAATTTTGATAGATAATATCTATCAGCAAGACAACCAAGGGTAGGATTTGCAATTCCTAATGCTACTCCACCAACAAGAGCTGCAGGTGATTAGAAATAAACAAACTTCTTGTTAAGCAACACCTATATATATAGATATGTACGAATAAGAGGACTGAGAATTAAATTTAGTCAGAAACATAGACTTTCCAAGAAATGAAGCCTGAACCAAATATTAATAATCACCACATTTCAAGATCAACTAGTAACCCCACCTGCAAAAACCTTACTAAAACTGTTTGGGATCCTCTAGAAAACCCTCTCGCTAATCTGCTATGCAGACACATCCTCCAAAAAGTCGCAAGGAACAGCCCCAAAACACATTATCTCACCCAATCCCACAGTGACCAAAGCAGCTTCAGCCACAATAATAGAAGTACAGTAAAGACATTCTGGCATATTAATACAACTGCTGGTACAAGCACTTATATGGACATCCCAGCTGGTAACAAAACATCAATAAAAAAATTTACAAGGAAAAACTCGCCTTGAGATACAATGGTTCTTGTGGTTTGATAAGTGAACAAGAGTAAAGGATGTGACCAGGACAAGCTTCTGTGCATGGTCTACATATTCTTTTCTAAAGTAATTCACAGGTTATATATGGAGCATTTGAGTGGGGGAGAGTGTAACATCCTGGATATTTTAAGAGTTGTAATTTTAATATGACTGGTGACAAAATTTAGAGAAATTTTGGGGATGAAACCTGACTTGATCTGGGGTGAATAATCAATCTCTAAGAACTTTACGAAGGATGTTAAATTATGGAATTTGTACATTGTTGGCTAGCCATCATCGTCAAGACTCGGCTTAGGGTTATACAACGTGTTCATATATTAGGAGTGCTAGAAAAAACTTAATAAAGAAGATTACAAAAAAGGGACATTTGTCCACTTCAAGTGTGCCTAGATTGACAAGAGTCACTTAGGTGATGTGTCACAGACACTTGTCAAAATAAAGTGTGTGAATTTAAAGAAAGACACGCTATAAGCACAACCAAGCAAAGTGAGTGAGTGTGTGTGTGTGTGTCAAGTGGTAGGACACTTGTTACATTACATGATACGTAGTGTGATAGGTAGTGTGCATGTATGACAAGTGTCAAGCTAAAAAATGTGGTAATCATGTCACAGGACACCTCCTTATTTTGTGGCTATAAAAAGAGAATGGTTTCAATAGAAAAACCATATGAAGAGAGAGAAAGTGGAGAGAGAGATGGTGGAGATAAAAAGTACGGAGAGAGAGAAAGAGAGCTCTAAGAATGTTGCGAGCATCAAATGGTTATTCATGATCTGATTTGAAGGAAATTTGAATATGATATTTTGGATAACTTGAGGTACTTATCTCTGAGAAGCGATTGCTGATTTGAGATACGGAGTAGAATATAATTTGCTTCTATTCTATCATTAAATTTCTTTCAATAGTGTTTTATTGAGTATTGATTATCTCAAAATTTGTATTCCTATTAGTTATTTTTCATTGATATGAAATTGCATAAATTTTGTTGAGTTGGCTTATATTTTGGGTTAATTACCTTGGGATTGAATAGTACATGTACAAAATATACTTGGGACATATTTTATAAAATGTGATTGTGGACCTAATTGATTGGTGTGAGTTTGAATTTATACGCAAGTATCACTTGTCATGTTACCAGATGAATTGAGTATAAAGCTATGCATGACAAATAGTTGAATTGTGTGATATATCGTATCTGATTCATGATTTCCTAATATCCTTAATTGCCTATCAATTGAATTATTTACTATTTGAGCATTTGCTCTTTTATCATTGGGCATACTGTTTCATGTCGTATCATATACTTTCCCCACTTAATTAATTTTTCTAGTTGATTTTGAAACAAAGATTGAGAATGGAACATTTGAGGAATCGGAGACGAGTGAATATCAATAAGGTTTTGTAATATTGAATTTGCGAGATTCAATTATCAATTATAGTTTTTATTGAGGCAATTAGAGCTTTGGTTGACAATGTATTTGGAGATATTTTGTGGAATTGTGTCAAGTTTATTAGATAACGCATCTAGGAAATCAGTGAGTTATAGAGAGGGGGAAGGGGGGAAAGAGAGGAGAAACAGTGTATTTCGCAAATAAGTTTGACGATGATGGGAGTCAGAGCTTGTGAGAGAAACCGTCTTTCCTATTTAGAAGCACAAGCATGTAGAGTTTTGCTGTTTTAAAAAAAAAACACAGAAATTGCAATATTGAATCTTGAAAAGAAGTGTCTGTCGAAAAAAAAATTCTGTAAAGAAGTGCAAGATGAAGGAGACAGTGTGAAAATAATTGAAAAGAAGGCATTACAGAATGATCAGCCACAAAGGACCTTAACTTTGTGCAATGATCCTTGGGGAAACCTTTCAAATTTCCGTGTCGTTTCTTTTTTGGCAAAGAAGTTCTAAAGTATAGGAGATTCAAAATGCTGCTCAGTTGTAGATGTGAATCTATCCTACACCCCCTCTCTTTTCAGCAGTTGATACATTCTGCAGTTTCAATAATGGCCAAAAACATGTTCAAGCATGAAGGTTGGAGCTATATTTGCCTTTTGAAGCTAAATGTACTGAGTTGCAAACTTTTTTCCTTTGGAAACAGACTCGCTACAGAACAAGACAAGCACCATCTCCTATTTAAGGTGAAAGGCTATAAGTCACAAAAGAATATCATTGAATAAGCCACAAAAGAAAAAACCGTCCAGGATAGAGCTCTCTTTGTTTCAAGTGCTCCATGGTAAGTTCCCTCGCTTGCTGTTTGAGTGGGCTGCCAGATCCAACCAGTTACTATGATCCAACTAAATGCTTGGCTAAATGAACATCGTTGAGTTGTTAAAATATCATTAAAATTATATTCGGTAGTATGGTCACCACACCTTAGAGCTGGAATTGAAGCAAAACTAAGACAAAGACAATTTGTATTCCAAGCTTAAATTCCATGTTCCAAAATGCTGCATATGATCGATCATAATATTTTGATGAGCATTAGAACCATCATTCAATTTTTTTTCTCTTTTTTTTTTTCAGTTTTTAGCTGACAGCAAGTTTCTTCTTAACTATATTTATCACTGCAGGAATGTGCTGATGTCCTATTCCTTCCTCCTCACATTGAACAGAAACATTGCACAAGAAATGAACACAATTAAGTGCACAACATGAACTTAACCAATATAAAAACACAAACCAGTAATCATATTTTTATAGTCTTAAAAAAATTATTACCTAGCGGAAGAAAATTATTTGCAGCAAAATTCAACAACGGTTTTGTCCAATTCAACACCTTCTCCGGAGCCGAAGCTCCACTAGGCTGGTCTACACCACTATTTCCCTGAAAACAAAAAAGAAATGTTCCCAGACAAAGGGCAACACAGGCACAACATTACAAACATAGTAAGCCAAAGCCAATTTTAGTTAGGGAAATTTTGTCAGAATCTGAATAATTGGAAGGTAATGAACCTGATTAGATTGTTCACTTGCTTTGATGGGTTTTCCTGGAACTGAACGGAGTTTCCAAAGAAGCGAATTCTTCTGGCTGACATCAACGGAGAAACCGCCGAAAAATGGGATATTGATCGCCGGTACAAATGGTGGTTGTCGTCGGAAAGGAGCAGTTCTAGTGGCCAGAGGGTTGAGGTGTAGGGTTTGAAGTGTTCCCGCCATTGCAAATGCATGCAAAAAGGGTACAACTCAGAGATGTTGGGAGAGAGAGGTGAGCAGAGGACGTGTGTGCTTTTGACACATCGAGACGGTGATGGGGATGTTTGGAGTCTTTGGACGCATGTATTGTGATGTACACAAATAAATTTAAAATAACAAAGGTTGCGTTTGATTTAATTTTACTTTTTTTTCAATTTTTTTTATTACGAAATATACAAGGCCGTGTTTTTTTCTAAAAAATAATATTATTTGGATCTAATAATTTAATTTAATTTAATTTAATCTCTCAATCTAATGACATGGCTGTTAATTGAGATTCTATTATTTGACAATTTATTATATCAAGTTTTTAGATCTCAATAGTATTACTTTTTTTAATAATAATATTATTTAGTGTTAATTTGTTGACCTTTAAGAATATTTCTAACCATTACTAACTCAAATTTGATTATAAATTTGAGTAAAAAGCTTGGTTTAATATAGAATATTCTAATGGACAAACTTAAATATCCACTCGAATCTTTTTAAAAAAATTTGTTACTATCCCAAAACTCATTTTTTTAATTTTTCCCACTAAAATATTTTTTCCTCTCTCATTTTCTTATCTTTATTCCCTCCCTAATATTAAAAAAGAAAAGAAAAGGCTCTCCAATATTAAAATTTGTTTCTTACAAACTTCACCAATATTAACCACAAAAAAAATCAAGGATAACAACCTCTTTGAGTGGTAGATTCGTGAGTTTCCTACCATTTAAGGCAACGTCCATCTAAAACCAAGAAATTTTTAAAATATCTATTCAATATTAACTTAATATCAACTAACAGTATTTCATGTCTTTAATTTTGTCTAAATCAGATTCGTACAAGAGACGAGAGAGATTTTTTGAAAATGAGTTTTATGAGAGAAAAAGGGTAGAAAGAGATATATATACATATATAAAGAGAGATTTAAAGCTTACCATTGAAGAATAGAAGCAGGGAGAGACAGTGTGGTCGACGACGATGATAACGGCTTTGAAGATAGAGGTAAAAGAGGCAAAAATTTGTTGCATTAAAGGAGTGTCCAGAATAAATTTTGTCTTGATTTGATATAAGTTTGGATCTAAGGGTTGAAGAGGTGTTTTGAGTCATTTTAACTCAAATTTAAATTTGAGTCAAAGTTGAAGATGCTCTAATTCATCACAATTATTGAATTTGTTGTGAATCTACACAAACGCTAGAATCTGCTATTATTATATCAATAAATGAATAATACTATTGAGAACTAAAAAACTGACTTAATTCACTGACATAATAACGTAACAAAGTAGATTAAATTTTGTCCAAATTCGAGTAGCATTGTTCTTTTTTTATACTTATACAAAGTAGTGTTTTTGAATCTATAATTTGATTTCATTCAACTCCTCGTCTCGTTTCGAGAAAAATCGTAATTTTATTCGCACAGATAGTTTTTTTTGGATGTTAATGATCTGCTTCTGCATGTAGTTTTCTAGAACAACCAATGATAGAAATTTCACTCTTGTGTTTCTATCCTGCACAATTTGAAGGCAAAAATAAAAAACTATTTTCCAGACATACATATTATCACTACACAATTATGAGTCACCACATGAGCATAAAAATTCACTGAGTTCTATCATTTTTGTTTTATATTAATGAAGTCTTATTCTTGATATTTTATATCAATTAAGTCCTAAATTCTAGTATTTTAATTTTATCCTTACCCTTTAATTGTCAAAACACTTTCATTCTTTTACGTTCTTATGTCAACTCGAAAGCACACTCTTTGGGACACATCAATTGTTGTATGACTTTGCATTCTTTATAACATGTGAACTTCGACGACACACCTGTTGAACTTTTTAATTGCTATGTGATGTGTTTTCTTCCTCACAACACTTTAATTCTTACTTTGATTCAAGTAATATTATTATATTGTAGATTCTATTGATACATTATTTTTGTGGTTTTAAATTATTCTATTAATTTATATAGGATTTAAAATGATTATGTTAGGGATTTATTTTAGTTATTATGTTTGAATCGATAATGACATTAAAGTGGAATTAATCGGCAAACATTATTGATGTAATTTTTTAAACATTTCTTATCTTATTTTATTAAATAATTGACAAATATTATTTCAATTTTAAGATTAAATACCTCAATGAGATTAAAAAAATAAGAAAATGTGGACTTTCTTTTGGTTTTGACATTAAATTTATGTTAACTGAGTTTTTTTATGGGTTTCGATGTTAATTTTGTAAGCAAAAAATTTTTGTTCTCTTAATTGGTTCTAAAAATGCAAAAAAAAAAAAAAATGAAATGGTACGTTTTGGTAATTAAAAGATATGGATAAAATTGGAATATAATAGAATTTAGGACTAAATTAAAATAAAATACCAAGAATAGTACTTCATTGATATAAAACAACAAGAATATGATTTAATGAATTTTTGTGGAGAAAAGTAATACTTATTGATAATTTTCCCAATTTAGGGTTACTTATGTCAATGGACTGTATCGTGAGCTATTTCTAAATTATGACCCATATTTAAAAACAAAATATATGTTCATCTTATACATGACCTATTTGTAGTCATGTTGTGTATTAATTGTGTTTCATTAAATCTATGTTAATTTAAACAGACTCATGTTAATCAATTTTATAAACCTTGTCTAACAATCGATCCTTTATAATCCAAGTCGTTAAAACTAAACACATTTGCTAATTTTGTCACATTAACAATTCGTATTGAAAATTGTCAACCCAAAGTGAACCCGCACAATCCAATAACTACCACATCTAACATAATTTGATGACTATCACGCGCGCAAATGCAAAATTTATCAGAATATATGATAATTTATTATTGAATATGTTATTATTGTATAATAGTCATTAGGACAATTCAATCCTCTCTCAAAAAAAAAAACACAGATTGTATTGGACAGTCTACACTACCAACCGATAGTGTCAATTGATTCATATCAAACTCTTGTCTCTTATTCTATAATATAAAATAAGACAAGATCCGACGATCTCCAATAGACTCATTCAACCACTAATATCTCTCTCAAAATCATTCATATTGCATCAAGACTTCAAGTACGAGTTACCCTTAATTTGATTATATTGCTCAACATCTAAAACGGGACAGGGATGGATGTTTTTTTTTTTGGGTAAGTTTTTTTTTTCGGTTCAAAACTCTTGGGGATGACAGTGATTGATGTAACAGTATCACAAATGGTTGAAATGCGTTCAACCAACTTAATTCCCGCACCGAGTAGTAAATGTATACCACAAGTATTTTTTGGGTTGATAAATGACCATAAAATAAGTGCCGTTAGAATGTATGGGGCAAGGATGGCCAGTCCTGGAACAAAGACAAAATCTTCCCAACCTCCAAAAGAGTTGGGCATGGCAGCAAGATGACACTCTCGGGTCACGACGGAAGTTATTGGCCTTTGAGAAAGAAAGGGGAAGAGGGCGAGGTGAACCAAGGACGGGGGCAGAGATGGTAGAGGTTTAATTTGGATGGATCATTCCAAACTCAACCCGCGACCCAACAATAAATATTCAATATTCAGAAATGCTTGCCAAGCCCAGCAAACAATAATAAAGCAGAGACGACATTAAGAATAAAATAGCCCAAGACGGTAGGCAACAGAGACTGATGGCAGTTCATAGGAAGTTCAAACATGCTTCAAAAATTTATAGTCAACAGAATAATTGCTGTCAGGTGCAGAACTGTTATCAAGATGAAGCATCAAATAAAAAAATGCTGATTCAATTCAATTTGAACCACCGTAACACCAATGAAGCAAAAATCACACATTTTAAGTATCATACAACAAAGAGGGTACAGAAACCATTGCCAACATGACCTCATCCCACCCACCAGGATCCTTCACTCAAAGCCAGTAGTAATTCAAGAGTTGCAGGACTGAACCTTAAAATTCTTTAATCAAACCAATTAAAACAAGAAGTTCAATTGTGCTCAAGGCTCTCTACCTTTAATCTACAACCAAACACTACAGAAATTCTATGGGAAACTCCAAAAGCACTCCTGTCAAGAAAAAAATTCTACACGAAACTCCAACATCATTCCTGTCAAAACTAAAGGATTATCTGAAGAAATTCCATATGATTCGTCGATAATATAACAATACATTGCATAGCTATCATTCTTATACCCAAGAGGACAGCTTTGAAGGTGGTCAAACAAAATAACCTGGCTAGTGGCTACAAACTAACATTCAAAAATTGTGAATTAATCGACTAGTCACTACAAGAAATTATCTAAGGTTTGTCGATCCATAGTCGCCTCACTCATCCAGAAAAAAATAAATCAGATGCATTGATCACAAGTGTCCCACAATAGGGATCTAACATACAAACTTGTATTAACCAAACAAAACCTAAATCACAAAAACCAAGCAATCCTTGGTAAATACCTGAGCCACACAGCCCTCAAAGATACTTCTCTGACAAATGTGCACAATAGCTATTCTTTGATCTTAAAACACCGATCTCAGCGCCCCACTGCCCCTGGCTTGGCCACACATTTGGGATAGATTCCACTTGATCTGACTCCAGAAACGAATCTGCCACATGGCCTTGTCTCTTTATGAGCCGACATCAAGGAAGGCCTAGCAATAGTGTTTCCCTGGTAAGCACACAACAACAATGTTATCCTTTCTTTCCAGCAGGTAAACAACAACTCTAGCTTGTCATTAGTACAGCGTATCTTGATTTTCTACAAGTATAAATCCATTGACTCAACACTGAGGATGTCAAATTAAATGATAAATAGCTTGGAGTACTTGAATACTGAAGAATCATTTTCTGGTGATTTTCCACCATTTATTCGACATGCCAAAGAAGAAACAATAAAAAGAGTCCCATATTATCTGTTCAAAATGTACACATTGGGGCACACATGCACTAGAGTTCTTCCATCATGGACAGATTTGTGAAATTAAACTTTCTTATGCACAGATTGTAGTGAAGTCGTTCCCCAGTCAAAGGAATACCATTCTGAAAACATATAACCACCAGGTACTTTCTATTTTGTGTTAGTCTTTTGT